AGATACTGGGGAGACAGTGGCCCCAGATACTGGGGAGACAGTGGCCCCAGATACTGTAGAGACAGTGGCCCCAGATACTTTGGTGACAGTGGCCCCAGATACTGGGGAGACAGTGGCCCCAGATACTGGGGAGACAGTGGCCCTAGATACTTTGGTGAAAGTGGCTCCAGATACTGGGGAGACAGTGGCCCCATTTACTGGGGAGACAGTGGCCCCAGTATCTGGAGGCATTGGAACACCTCACCAGGGAGACGTCCAGGAGGCATCCTAATCAGATGCCCAAGCCACCCCTACCCTGAGTCCTCCCCGGATGACTGAGCTCCTACCCAATCTCTAAGGCAGAGGCCAGACACACTACGGAGAAAACTCATTTCAGCCGCTTCTATCCGGGATCTCGTTCTTGCGGTCATGACCCAAAGCTCATGACCATTGATGAGGGTAGGAACGTAGATCGACAGGATAATCGAGAGCTTTGCTTTTTGGCTCACCACAACAGACTGGTACAGTGCACGCTTCACAGCAGATGCCGCACCAATCTGCCTATCGATATCCTGCTCCATCCTCACCTTCATTCATGAACAAGGCCCAAAGATACTTAAATTCCTCTACTAGGTGCAGTACACCCTCCGCCCCCATCCCGGAGAAGGCAGAGTTAGGAAGAAGTTAATTTAAGGTAGTCAAAGGTTCATTCTGTGTTCTAAGGAGTAACAGAAAGGCTGAAAAAAATATGATGAAGTTATTCAGTTAATGTTTATTTGATTCTTACATTAAAAGAGTTGATATCCAATTAGATCGGCTTTGTTAGTTGATTTTTATCCTTTATCTGCCATTTTTCAGGTGCTCCTGTTGCAGTACACCTGATCAATTGATTGAAAACCTCATCAGCAGCCAGAAAGCGCTGCAGAAGATGTTATCCTTCCTTCCTAGGATTCAGGTGTTAAACCAAGAAGACGTCTAAAAATGCAGAGTGGGTGGTAGTGGAGGAGCAGGACTGATATTCATTTATCTAGTTTGAAAGGTTCAAGTTTTCTAGAAGTCGTTTCTACTCTCATCTAAGAAGCTCTCTCAGTTCTAACTAATGGTAGGGGGTGCTGAGATTAATATATTGCAGGTGGAACAAAGAGTTAGGGGCAACTAGGTGGCACTGATCCCTCCCACTGGATGTGCCAAGGAGGTCACATGGGGGGTGTACATGGCTGTTAGGGGGGTTAACGAACCCCAGAAGAGATAAAGTAGCAGCCATTCAAAATGACCCTTCACATTCCCTGTTCTGTTTGTGGTTCTCCTCTCAGCTCTCTATAGACTCCCCATCTGGCCCTGGCTCTGGGTTCTCTGTAGGTTTCTCATTTCTAATGGGTGGCCTCTTGGCACCTGCATGGTTCTGGCTCACCAACAGAACCAATGCTTGTAAACAAAGTCCTGACAGGATGGCAGCTTTTGAACGTACAATGCTTTGGTTAGGGTCAGCAGGCCTTCAGGAAGTGGAATGACAGGAAGACCCTGGTGGACATCAGGCCCCACCAGGATTGCCCAACTGGGCTGTATATGCTCTGAATCCAGGAGCCTCTGCAGTTCCATGAAGTGGAAATGTTTTGAACTGGGAACTCCAAATGGAGTCCATTTCCCCCCCAAGACTTACCCAGGAAACGGAAGGTTCTGCGCACCAACGGGTTGAGGTAACAGCAGTCTCCAGTGGCCACCGTCTTCTCAGAGCGGTCGAACTCTTTGGACGTGTACTGGACCAGGAACAGGATGGTCTCAGTGACGGTAATCTGAGGAAGAACAGTCTTTATTCAGAGTGGACTGAGGGAACAACTGAAATCATAAGAATTGATGGGTTTATTCAGCATTACAAACACCCAGAAATGGGTTACCTTTATGCTAACCAACCACTGGAGATATCACTGAAGGTAAGATAGAGGAATCACCACAGAAAATATTGATCAATTTGAATCACTATTGATTTTTTTAATTATATAATAACTGAAGTATGTTTCTATTTATTGTGGAAATAACTGATAATTGTATGCAGACTTCAGCAACAAGAGAAAATAAATACCTTCTGAAGTGAGAGTTTAATAACTGAATTAAAGAATCCACCCGAGGGTACGGTAAGAGACACTAGAGGTAGGATAAAGGACACTAGAGGGTACAGTAAGGGACACCAGACGTAGGATAAGGGACACTAGAGGGTACGGTAAGCGTCACCAGAGGTAGGATAAGGGACACTAGAGGGTACACTAAGAAACACCAGAGGTAGGATAAGGGACACTAGAGGGTACAGTAAGGGACACCAGAGGTAGCATAAGGGACACTAGAGGGTACGGTAAGCGTCACCAGAGGTAGGATAAGGGACACTAGAGGGTACAGTAAGGNACAGTAAGGGACACCAGAGGTAGCATAAGGGACACTAGAGGGTACGGTAAGCGTCACCAGAGGTAGGATAAGGGACACTAGAGGGTACAGTAAGGGACACCAGAGGTAGGATAAGGGACACTAGAGGGTACAGTAAGAAACACCAGAGGTAGCATAAGGGACCCTAGAGGGTACGGTAAGCGTCACCAGAGGTAGGATAAGGGACACTAGAGGGTACACTAAGGGACACCAGAGGTAGGATAAGGGACACTAGAGGGTACGGTAAGCGACACCAGAGGTAGGATAAGGGACACTAGAGGGTACAGTAAGGGACAACAAAGGCTGCGGTAAGGGACACCAGAAGTAGGATAAGGGACACGAGAGGGTACGGTAAGAGACACCAGAGGGCACGGTAAGGGACACCAGAGGTTACCAGAGGGTACCGGAGGGTACGGTAAGGTACACTTGAGGGTAGGGTAAAGGAAAACAGTGGGTACAGGACGGTACAGTAATGGAAAGCAGATGGTATGGTAAGGGACACCACAGGGTACTCTAAGGGAAAGCAGAGGGTATGGTAAGGGACACCAAAGGACACACTAAGGGAAAGCAGAGGGTATGGTAAGGGACACCACAGAGTACGCTAAGGGAAAGCAGAGGGTATGGTAAGGGA